GACAGTTCTCTTGAGGCAAGAGCTTACCCTAAAGACTGTCCAGGTCTTGCCTCTGGTGCTCACAGTGGCCCATGTTGCTCTCAGGGCCCAGGAAGATCCACAGAGGCCACACAAGACTGCTGGCTCCCATCTGCCCCATTCTATGGGGCCACCTCAGTTATGTTACATAGGACACGGTTCTCTAATCCTTTTCATTCTGTGACAGTCTTTTAAACAGCTAAGCTTTTCATGACCCAACATGTTTGGAGGGGGAGGAGGAAGGAAGATCAGGGCAGGGGGCATATTCCACCCCAAAAATAATTAGTTTAGGGATACCATGTACTAATATGTACTGCTTAAGAGAAAGTGTGTAGCAGAGACTGTAATTTGGGCTAAGCTAAGTTAAAGTGAGAAGAGAAGAATGGGGAAAAGAAGGGTAAAGGAGAGAAAAAGAAAACAGGGAGAAGAGTGATAAGGAGAAAACAGAGAAGAGGACAAATGAAGAGGATATTTGTGAGAAAAAAACATCTAACAGGTAGTGGAGGAGGAGGAGGAAGGAAGAGTTGAACCTGTGTTTGAAACTGTGCTCTGCTTGACTCTGTGATTCTTGACTAGTGACTGACTTCAGTGTGAAAAGGTGGATGGCTCAAGTGAGGGGGATTCTCAGCTCTCCCTTGAGGGTCACTTATATTGCTAGCATTTATTTTGAGAGACCCAAGCAAAGCTGTCTCAAGGGTGACTCTTCTAAATGGATTCATTGTAGTAATTTGGGAACAAGGAATGTAACACTTTTCTTAAACTCATGATTGCTGAGGTGAAGGAGAGAGGATTGCTGAGCAGATTAAGCCTTGAACTCCTCACACAGTCCCTGTCCCCACCCTAAGCCTCCCAATTACTAGGATAATCGCATACAATTAAATTCCGGACTTGAAAGCCAATCTCTCAGAAAATCTTCCTGTTTGGTAACTGAAACATGAACATATTTCCAAAGCAGAGTATTATAATATACCTATGAAAATTACTAAAATACAATTATGATAATATCACTGATGTTTCACAAAAGCTATGAACATTCCAAATATGTGTAGGAGGCCCAAGTAAAGCCTTGTAGTTCAAAAGAGAGGAAAACTTTTTATCCTCTTTTTTCAGTGTTCTTTTCCTCCCTTCTGAATAGTTGGAGTTTTTTTGCCCTAGTATAATATTTATGGATTATTTGGCATAACATTTCAGGAATATGATATTTACTATAATAGTAAGGGGAGGAATATTATAAAATCAAGCATATTTATTCAGACAATATGCAGATATCTTTGTTCCAAATTTTAGAATGTTAATCTTATAAACCATGAGTTTCCTAGTTCATTCCAAAATGTCCCTGCAATCCAGAAATAAGAAATAGTAGGTAGGGGCAGCTTTCTCAGCAATGTGTGATACACTGTGCAGACTCCCGAAACTCTCTTTATGCTCATATTTTCTATTTTTCTGCTATAATTGACCCAGAAAACCCTCAATTATAGAGCAGGAAATATTTAAAAAATTTTTAGCATAAGATTGTACAATGTGCTTTATAAAAAAAAAGAAACATCTGTATGTGAGGTGAATATAGCCTATTTGGCTTCTAATTTTGAATAATAGTTTTCTCAATTAGGCTAACTAGTGGTTTACTTATTTAACTAATATCCTCTCATATAACTTAGCATAATCTTTACCTTTATCTTTCATAATATATGTTCCTTCTATATTATAATATGTTCCTTCAGCTTTTCTTAGGTTTTGTGTGCAGTGGTTGTTTTTACTTCTTGAGTTGAATATTTAATACACTGATTCTCCATTTTTTACTAAGGAAGTGGGAGTTTTCCTGAAAAGGGTTTGGTCATATATCATAGAATTTGATGTGAGGTTTTTCTCATTGTTCTTACTATTCTGTTATTGTAAAAATATACAAACTTGGTGCAAAGGTGTTTAGCAGTATGCGTTTTAAAGCAGTTTCCAGATGTTTGAAGTTTTCTTCTTTCTTTATTGTTACCAGCAAAATAATGATACAGTAACACTATTGCTACTGTAACTAAAATCATGTAGTATGGTCTGTATCATTTGGGTTTCTTTGTTTTGTTTCTGTTTTTGTTTCTCTGGTGTGGGTGTGAGAATGTGTTAGAAAACTATAACAAATTATATATTTCCAATATATAATCCAATAAATGCTTGATTTTTAATTAATGTTTTCAGGGTGTTACATAGTCTTGACTTCAGCATGTAGTATTTTTGATAGGTTTGCCGTGAATTATCTGGCATAATTCATAAGTTAAATTATAATTTTAGACTGTACTCTCATTAATTTAAAAAACACTCATTCTTATTGCTTTATTCTTTATATATCATTTCCTTTGTCAGACATTAAAATTGCAACCCTTGATTCCTTTCTGATTATGTTTGCTGAGTATATTTTGCCTACTCCAAAGTCTTATATACTATGACACCCCCATTATTGAGTTTATTGTTTTGCTTAATCTCTCAATTGCATTAATTTGTCTTTACATAGGTTTTTCAGAAATAGCACATGAATGATAGTTTTTTAGTGCTGGTATGTTTGATTATATATTTCTATTATCTTCACATGCAAATGTCGAGTTTGCTGAGTATAGGATTCCTGGAATATTCCCCGTTACCCACAGCATATATATATAAAACTTCATTATTGCCTATCATCTGACATTGCAAAGAACTTTGAGGCCAGCCTGATTTTTGTTTCTTTTTTTATTTTTTGGCATGTTCTATTTGACTGATTACTTGTATTCTTGAAATTATCTTCACCAGATTATGCTTTGGTGTTAGTTTCTACTAAAATTATCTCGTATTTGATGAATGAAAGACATGAATGCCTAAAGAAAGGAAGTGGAAAGATAAACAAGACCTTCAAGTTCTCTTTGGTCCACTACTGCCATTGGCAACCCGGGCTCTACCTTATGAATAAGAAAGCATCAAGGGTGCTCCAAATAGTGGTTGCCATGTGGGGTTTTCTATTTCAAAATGGCAATGAGTCCAGTAGCATGCTTACCATGTTGTTACTTGTCTGAAATATTAAGGATTCCAGTAAGGCAGAGTTTCAAAGATCTTTGATCTAATTTACTTTTTTTTTTTTTGACAAGTGTGTTAAATAATGAGGAAATCTGTCCTCAGATAATACATAAATGCATGAGTGAATTTTAAGTCTTTATTATGATAATAAAATGCATAAGTGAATTTTATTTTTGCTTCATATACCAGTAAATCATCCATCTTCAGCTTATCCTAAGAAATTCTAACACCGAAGATATTAGGTAGACTGATTTTGGGGTTCCTTGAAGAACTGGCCTGCCAGTGACCATTTGGTGATATTGTTAGATCCTGTTGTTAGGTCCCACGACCAAAAGTGACAGGAACAGATCCTTCCCAAAGAAGTCGTGTTGAAAAAATTGGAGATGGCTTTAAAAGCAGTAAATGGTGCAATTGACAGAAGGATAGTTTACATAGGTAGCTTTTATTCTAAGAGTTGGGGCAACAAAGTGGCAGGTACAAATTTCTACAGTAAGCTCAAGATAGAACGGAGAGGCCTCATGACAAATTTACCTTTTTATAGGCCAGAACACAGTTTGGTTAATATTTTCAGGTGTTCTTTTTAGTCTTACGATTCAGTATTTGGTTTTTCTTTGTATATGCAGAGTATCCTTTTAAAACACAGATTTTTGTTTTAAACTTCTGTTGATTCTGCAAACGTGGTGTAGGTTAAATCCATGAACAGGTTAAGTCTCTGACTTAACCCAGCCAATCGTAACTCGTGCTGGTGATGTACAGCTTCCCAGTTCTGATTCATTGGCCTCCTAGGGTTTGTCATTCTATCCCCGGCGTCTGCGAACAGCTTGCGTCGGGTTTTCCGTAGTCTAGCTAGCAAAACTGGATTTTGGCCGCCTGCACGTGCAGTTTCAAGTAGGTTTAGCTTATCTCTAACTAGTAGCTATTACATTGCCGATTATCCTCCAGATTTTGAAAAATCCTCCGTTCCTTTAACCTCACTGGGGGTCGTTGGAGGCCCCCAGTGACAGACTCACGTGATTGACTCATTTGTGCAAATAAACGCAATGTGGAATCCCAGGAGCTGGACAAGAGACTTGCCAGAAACTCAGAACATGTGCCCCGGGCGTGTATCAGTTGCACTTGGGTGTGGGTGGATGTCGGTAGATTGCGTGTGTTGCTGCTTTTCCAGACGCTAGGTGTGTGGCTGGGACACCTGCGTGCGCCTCCCGGGGTCACTGGGGGAGAATAACTGGAGGCTTACGGCCCTGGGGGAGGCGGCCTGGCGGCTGCCCGGAACAGACCGTAAGTTCACAGAGCCAGGCAGCGATCACGCAGCGACTGCGCCGGAGAGAGGTTGAAAGCTCTCGGTCAGTCCTCGATGCTTTGCGGACCGCGCCTACGCATGGAGTAGGGTGTGTACTTGCAGATGAGTGGAAGGGCAGGGGCGGGAGGCACTGTCGCCCTATGGGGAGCTTCCGAGTCCCGGCTAGGCAGATTGCAGGGCTGGGAGAGGCTCTCGAGTCCCGAGGCTCTTAGTCGCACACTCTGTCCAGCCCCACGCGCCTCGGCGTAAAGGCCCCGGTCCGGATTCCGATCCGGGATTCGGAGGCTCCCTGCGGCCTCGGCAGGAGCAGAAGGAGCTGGGCAGGACAGCGACGTCATCTGAGGGCGCCCCTCCCCCGCCGCCGGCCCAGGCTGCAGTTCCTGCTCAACAACATCCGGGTCTCTCCAGCTGCTCTGCCGCGCCGCAGCTGTAGAGGCCGCGGAGCCGGCGGGGCGGGGCAGGCGGAGGAGTGGGGGAGGGGCAGCACGGCCCCGTCGTGAGCGCGCCTGCGCGGGGACGCGCTCGAGGCGACGGCGGCGCTTCGGGCGGGAGCGCGCGCGGGAGCGAGGGAGCTGTGGTCTCGGCTCCTGCCCGGCCCTCAGCTTCAGTTGCTCGGGCGGCTGCATCTAGGGAACGGGTGGTTGGGGAGGGGGGGTGGGGGGCAACCTCAGGCAGGTGGGGCGCGAAAGCGATGAATGTTCGGCTCTTCCTCCTCCTCCCCTTGGACCCGCTCTCCGCCTCCCGCTCCAACGCCCGGATGATCTGAGTCTCGAGGGCTCCGAGAGCCGGGGGCCCGGACTCAGCCCGGCTCCTCCCCTCGGCCCCCTCCCCGGCCTGCCCTGGCCAGCTGCCGCCGCGGTGACCCCCTTCCCGCCCCCTGGCCGGCCGCCGTCGCCGCCTTCGCCTCGGTGGACCTAGGACCTGCCCGCCGGCGGCTGCTCCGGGTAAGCGCGAAGCTCGGGCCAAGGGCGGGCGGGCGGCGCGGGCCTGCGCGGCAGCAGCCAGGCCTGGGCCTGGGGCCTGTAAACAAGCCGGGCGTCTGCCCGGGCGCTCCCGGGAGGAGACGCGACAACTCCACCCCCTGGCCCGGCCTCCTCCCCGGAGCCGGGCGGCGGGCGGCAAGGGGTTAAAGCTCCGCGAGGGCGGTGGCGGGGAGGCGGGGGCGGAGTGTTTGTTGTGGCAGCTTGGGGAGGGGGCATGACCCTCCCGCCGCCGAGGCCTGGTGAGGTGTCTGGCGGCGACACGGGCGAGGGCCGCCGGCAGGAGAGCGGCGGGCGGAACTTTTCGCGAGCTGAGAGGGGGCGTCGCGGCGCCTAGCGCCCCTACCCGTCCGACTGCGCCGTCCCGGCCGCCCTGGGCTCCAACCCCTGGAAGGAGGCCGGTTGGGGGAAAGAGGGAGGCTTTCTTTGGACCGGACGTAGCTTCAAAACACCAAATTCTGGAGAATTTGCTTCAGGTTTTATAGGGGGCAGATCTGAGAGTGAGGTTCCTTCAGAACGCATGTCGTCACTGATGCCTCCAATTCATTCATTATTAAGACATCGAACAAATCCATTGAAGTAATCACACTGATTTCTCGACTCTATAACAGTGTAAATTGTGGGTAGAAGTTCTTGGTGTTAGAGTTTGGTTGCGGTATGGTTCTGTTCTGCTTGTAGATTTTAAGTATTTTCTGGAAAGACGGCTGTGGAGAGTATTCCATCAACCGCAGTATTAGGCGCGTTTTGAAAATTTCATCACCAGAGGTATTTTTCCTTCTATCTCCTCAAGCACTGCAAGGTACTTAACAGATCCAAAGATCAGGCTTAAATTGTCCAAGCCCAGACATCTATGCGCACCCCCAGCTCTTAAGTTTTCTGCTTATGGGAATAATGAGACGAATGCATTCTATGGGATTGGAAGAGTAGGGAAGGTGTAAAAATCCATGGGAGATGGGTAGTACTTCCCAGAGTAGATCATTTTGACATTATTGAAAGAAATCAGAATAAATTGTTCTGAGGAGAATGGCCTAATTTTTTCAAATTTTCACGTCGGATTTTACACACAATCACTTGTAAATGCAAAGAGCTCTGAAGAGTCCGAGGATTGATTGATTTAAACCGAACTCTACTGAGCGTTAGGGGTTTCAGATCTCTAGGTGTCCAGCAGGGCTTGCTCCTCAACTCCTCTTTAATTGGAACAATTTCACTTTTATACTTGTATCTATTTACATACTGGGCCTTTTTTAAAGATTTTATTTCTGTAACTCTCTACATATTAGAAAATTGACTAGGGAGATACTGACCCACTCCACCTGTTTTCTAATCATAGTTGTTACTTTTACTGATTTTGTTTCCTTTGCCAATATAATTTGAAACAGAAACATTCCTCATGTTACAGTTCTGTTCTTAACGTGTAACATATCTGGTTAAACTTTCAGTCATGTAGGGATGATTGCTTTAAGCCTTGCAAATCATAGCAGCACCACATTATCACGACTATAATAAACTGCACATGCATATAATGAAATGCTGAAGACATTTTTTGTTTTATATTATTAAACATTTTCACATCAGTGAAGTAATTATATTATGGAAAAGGTATATTAAGACTGGTAAAGTTTAGCTAACCAGTATATATTTGAGAAGTAAAACGGTTGAATGCTGGAGTCATAAAAATTTCTTTTTGTAGGGGTGCGTATGTGTGTAAACATGGATTGTATCTTTTAATATTTTAGTTAAAGGTATGAAGTGATAACCATAATTACTGTATAACCTGTTGAAAGGGAACATTGCACTAGGAGACATGAATTGTTTACTGATGGCTGTGCTCCAAAATATCTGTGTCCAAGTCCTTTAATCTTTCAAGTCAGCTTGCAAAACAGTAAAGCCTAAGGGTTAAAGTATATCATCAGAGGCACCATTCAATTTAAAAATTTTTAATTCTCTTAACATTGTTCAGTATACCTTGACCAATGCCTGGTATGTGTCAGTCACTTAGATACTTCAGTCTTCTAAAACTTATTTTCTTTCTGGGTTTTGTCTTATTTAAAAGAATCATAAGTTGGTGACCTGTAGGAAAGGTATTCCTATAGGTATCCTTTACTGATTTTTTTCTGTTGGGATTGGGAAGTCCAGAAAATTCTTGGGAGGAAGGAGGATGGAGATTCCACAAGAGAAAAAGGGTGGTTGAGACTACAGGTTTGAACAAGCTCAGGACCCTTGGTAATTTGATGTGAAGAGCATTATAAGAACACATGAAGGTTTTTTGTCAGTTCGGGGTGGGTCTTGCTTATCTTGAATTGTTAATAACCCTTTGTTCGAAAATTTGTTCCGTAATGCCAAATTTTTGTTTTCAAGGAAATCTACAACTTGTCACATGTGGAATATTGCTGAGCAGTTACCAGAAATCTAGTATTTGAATTTGTTCAGATTATACCTTGATTGTTTATTGTAGTGGCTAATAGAATGTGTGGCTAATTCCAGTTTAACTATAAATGCTTATTTACTAAATAATGTAAAAATAAAGACTGACATATGTCCACAGGGAGCTTGTTATCCCTAAGATGCTCACCCATGAGAGCTGGATTAATCTCTTAAGGTGTAAGTCTGTAATCATGTAGAAAAAATTAATTATAAGGTACCATTTTGATGATCCCCCTAAATGATTAACTCTTGCTTGGGCATCTGAGTGGTACTCTTGACGACTTTCTATCCTTAATCAAATCAGAAGAAAGAGGCAGCCATATAAGAAAGTACTCAGGTAGAGTCCTATGAATTAAGCCAAGAGGTAAGAACAAGGTGTGGCCCTGTGAAATACATGGGCTTTGTAAGATGGGAAAGTGTTATGAGGCCACTGGTAAAAGTCTGTGTCTTCTCATACCTTGGGTAGTAACTTTATGTAGAATATGTTCTGTGTCCCATCTCAAGTAATGCTATCAAAATTTTTAAAATTCAGTTGCTTCATTTATTATTTCACAATTAGCCAGGAAGTATAAATTCTTAGACTTTCCACCTGGAATTATTTACCACCTGTGAAAGAAGCTTGGGTTAAATTACATCAAAATCAAAAAGTTGATGATATTCTTTCTTCTTATGCTCTTTCAAATGTCTAATGAGCTCCATATTACTTAAATAACAATTTTATATTGCTATGAGTTTCCAGAATATATTCCTTGATGATTTTGACCTTTTCATGTCCATTTGAAATCTGTAGACCAAATTTATGTAGCATTCACATTTAGGATCTGGGTTCATAGTCATTAGAGTTTTTATGGCTGATATGATTGGAATTAAAATCCTATGAGACCAAACTACTTCTGGATACAGAAGAAAGCGAGTAATAGCCAAAATTTATTGACCATTTACTTGTGTTTTCATCGTAACCCTCTAAAGTATTTGATGCTATCTCTGTTTTACAAGTGAAGAAATACAGGCTCAGAGAATCTAAGTAACATGTCTGTAGAAAAAAAATTCTTTTCAAAATACTCCTGAGTGGATTTTTCCCAGTTTGATGACAGAATTCAAAAAACTGAATGCTAACACTTGTGGTTCAGATTCCTAGAATTAAGAGACACCTTATAAATATTTGTAGTTGTCTTCTAATACAAGAGTGTCTTCTAAAGCATTCAGAAAAGATTTAAGAAATTCATTTTCTTATTCCCAAAGTTTCAGAAGTAAACAGTTTGAACAAGTTTATGTCTTCAACTATCATTGTTCAGATTGAAGAATGAAATCAATATTAATTCTCAAATGGTTGATATTCTTAATGAAGGACTAAAGGAAATGCTTCTGAGTACATAGTCAGTAGAGCCACATTGAAGGTTCCAGAGAAGGGAAGTTAGTAGAATTTTCTAGTGGGGTGAGCTTGGGCAAGCTCCTTGATTTCTCTAAGCCTCAATTTTCTTTCCCCATCAAAGGAAAAACCTTTCTCATAATTATGTAAAATTCTTGACATACATTCTATCATGAAGGAAATACCAAAAAAATGGTAGCAATTTTAAAATAGAGTACAGCTGACCTTTTAATAAGGTGTGTGGGGCTCTAGTGGCGCTGACCCCTTGTGCAGTTAAAATTCCACAAATAACTTTTGACTCCTCAAAAACTTAAGTACTAATACCCTATTGTTGACCAGAAGCCTTACTAATATAGTCGATTAACACATATTTTCTGTTATATGTATTCCATGCTGTGTTCTTACAATAAAGTAAGCTGGAGAAAAGAGAATGTACTTTCAAAATTGTTAGGAATCTCTCCAAAACTATTTTCCAATATATTTCCTGGGGGAAAAAATGTGCTTGAAAGTGGACCTGTACAGTTCAACCCCATGTTGTTCAAGGGTCAACTGTATATGAAATATTGAGTTACTTAGGGAAATAGAGGCTTAATGGGTATGAGATGGTTATCTGTTAGTGTAGTTGTACCAGTGAGCTTGGAAGTCAAACTCTGAGAGGGACTTTGGGAGGAGTTGTAAAGTTTGTGGGTATAAGGAACTTGGATTTGAATAGACTGAAAGAGGTAACGGAAGAGAAGGTTGAATATCAGTAGATTTATTTGTATGAAGCTGGAGAGAAGTCTTGGTTTTTAGTTAATGATTAGGTATGAGTACATGGTTAATCAGAGGATAAAGAGAGAGTAATAAAGCAAAGGTGAATGTTCAGACTAGAATGATCAGTAAATGCGGAAAGATTAGATTTGGTATTTTAAAGAGGAGTTACAGGTCATGGCTAGAAATGGTCAAGAAGATACTGCTACTGAAAAAGATGCAAAAAGTTCTAATTAACTCAGTTCTTCCTGTTTAAAAAACAAAAATAGTGAGTCTCCATAAAAGGCATTAAAGCTTTATGTATGGGTCTTACATTGAAAAATTGCACTGGAATAGTTCAGGTCTTACTACTACATACCCAAACCATGGTTTTTAAACCCTCCAATGGATCTTTCCCACTTACATTTTGTTACCTCCCTCC